CGTCTTCGATATTCTAGCCGGCGTCAAGGGCTTGGTCGAACGCACCCCGGTGGAAGGTTCCGACCTCTTCTTCCTTGTGGTTTCGCCCGACCACCACAGCCTTGGCTCTGGTATTTCACTTTTGCTTTGCTCACAAAGCCGCAACCAACGACGATGCTCCGTGCCATCGGCCTCGCGCTAGCGGCCGCGACCGCCACGTATGCCCGCCACATTGGCATATTCCACGAACACGCCCATCCGACGGCGGGCGGCAACTCTGGTATCTTCCACGTCCCTGCGAGCACGGCCGTCACGACGTATCGCGCCACGTACCTCAAGGCCGTCGCCGACTGCCTCGACCAGACCCAAGACGACATCATTGGTTCCTTTCTCAAGGCTGTGCCCACGACCAACGGTCCGTGGATGCTCGTGACGGACATGAGCGCTGCCGACGTGGCGTCGGACGATTGCCCGAGCGTTCCCAAGGCGTACCACCGCTACGTCAAGCAGCTCAACGCATCGATCGCTGGGTTCATGGAGACGCTGCCGCAAAATGACTACACGACGACGGTCATGGACGCAGTGTCTTGCGACGTTCACTTGCCGAATGTGACGACGACCAAATACGACGATGCGTGGTGGAACCGACCGGCGACGCATCTTGGTGGCCGCATGCGCACGCCGACGAAGGGCTTGATGCGCGGTGCGATGCGCAGCAGTGTGCAAGCGACACCCGCGTCGGCCATGTGCCCGACAGCGGCGTGGACGTTGCAGCGACCCGACGGCAGCTTCCTCAACGTGACGGCGCCGGCCAAGACGGTCACGGTCGCGCTCGATTTGAACGCAACGATGTTTGGCAGCTTCAGCGTCGTCTCGATCGACTCGGCGGCGGACACTTAGCTCGACTGCACTTGTGGTGAGCGCAAGAAGGGATGCGCGTGTGCGAGCTACGAAGGACTAGGGACCCGTCGTTAGTCGTACTAGCAAACACAAGACTGCGTTCGCGTTCACTCCCATATATTTTGTTTGTTGCCTCTCCCAGTGAAGCTCTAGTGTTGAAGCCGGCTGCCGTCGAATGGTCTACAAGGACCAGACCTCTGGATGTGACAGGTCCACTTGTCACGTAATCGGATGACGTGACCAAACGCTGTCACAACCGTCCATGTCAGAGTCGGTGCGTGATCGATCGACCGAGCATGCGTTGTTGCGCTGGAACAGATCTACCGACAAAACAATCGCCAACAGTCTTGCTGTCTTCCTTGGGGTGTGCACCAACACCCCCGCACCACCACGCCGATCCGCATGACCGCCAGCGACGGCTGCGTGGCTATTCGCTTTGCAGCTTGCATCCCAGATGGCGTGGGTGCTGGAAGGCATCTGCGGGAAGCAGCAGCTCATCTAACACCTTCTGCTGCTATGCAGTACATGTGGGATTCGAGAGCAAACCTGCAATCCATGGCTTAGGACGATCTTCCGACGTACTATTGCGTCCTGCCATATCCACATACTGGTAGATGACATTGTTCAAGCCGTAGATGGATGGGAACTTTGCTAACGCGCTTGCTGCTGCTACACAAACCGCCTGTCAAGTGAGTGGCGTACTTGTCGTTGCCGACCGCCGGCTTCGATATCGAAGCGAACAAGACGACGGGCTGCCTTTTCTTTACTCGCTCCAACTTGCGTCTTGGCCCTGAAGCGGGCGCATGTTCGAAAATCGCATTAAAAGACGCCTTCGGTGATATTAAAAGACGTTCTTCAATGCCATAGCCGCCTTAAATGAACGGGATGCTGGGCTCATTCGACAAAGTGGGCACACGGTAAACTGCATTTCGCAATTGGAACTGCAATGGCCAACTCGGGACGCTGGACGGCAACAGAGCTAAAGTACCTGGACCACCTCGTGGGCTGTTACCTCGCGGGCATCCTCGACGACAGCGACGACGAAGCCGAGCGGCTTACGATGCGGCAATACGTGGCACGCCAGCTGCGCTGCGACCCGATGCGCGTCACGAAGCGACTCAAGAAGGGTAAGATGCTGGCCAACGCGCGGCTGCAGGCGAACTTCAACCGCCGCGTCTACCACAAGCTCACAAACTACTCGGCGCTCGACGTCGAGCGGCTCATGGCGCTCAAGGATGCGCGCAACAAGTTCCTCGCCGAGCTTGAAGCCAAAATCGCCAAGAAAGATGGCTGCGACGCGGCGCCACGGGTCACGCGCGGGTACCTCTCGCTCTCCGAGCAGCTCAACGGTGCGCCCGATACGCACGAGCTGCAGCACGAAGCCCACGCGATGCTGCTCTTACGAGGCAGCGCCGAAGCTGTGTGGACTATCTAAGAAACCATTGCTAACGAGTTGATTTATTGGAGTTTTCGGGGCGGTGCGGTCGCAGAGGATCCGCCTGACGCGAGTGTTGGCAACAGATTTGAATCTGATCTGCCAAGATAGCTCGCTGCAACAGGTTCAAGCTGGCGCTGTCCAAGCCAAAGCCGACAAGCGCGATGCAGCGCCAAGCGCAGCGCGTCAGCTATAGATAAGCGTTGGTACTAGAAGCGGTCGTTAAGGGCCGAAGCATCACAAGACCTATGTCGTCTTGTGCGTACCGTGTATACGGATCCTCCCAGCGGTGAAATAAATGATCGCCGCTCGCCATGTGAAGATCGCGCTCGCCCACAAGATACTTTGGCGAAACTCTATCATCAACAAAGTGTTCTGTGTGTAGTGAGGGAATTTCCGCCAAACATTGAAGATGAAGGTGAAATGCAGGGGTATTCCCTGAACACAGGGGTCTTTGTACCTAGTATCCAATGCGGCGCGAGTGTGTAGCTATGTTGGTGCGCCCGCAGGTGCTCGCGCAGAGCATGGGCAGATACTCTGCGAGCTCCGAGTGGATCTGGGCGCATTTACAATTCGGCGCCATGGTGCTCAAGTGCCCCAACAGCGGCCGGTGGACGCCCGCCGAGACCACGTACCTCCACCTGCTCTTCCTCTGCTTCATGACCGGCCTCGTCGACGCTCATGGCCGCTGCCTCCGCGACTTCCTCGCCGACGCGCTCCAGTGCGAACCGCGGCGCGTCTACAAGTTTGTGGCTGCCACGTACCTCAACTTTCCCAGCCGCCTGCGCTGCTCGCCCAAGCCGCGGCACGAGCTCACGGCCAACGACGTCCAATGCCTCGTCGCCCTCGAGGCCGCGCAGCGCGATTTCTACGACGCACTTGAAGTCAAGCTGGACCGACGCGCGGCGCGCGAGCCGGCGCTGGACCTCAACTGGGACCTCTTGGACGTGTAATTGTTGGCATTGAATGTAGATATTGTTGCGCTGTACCGCAATGTGTATTAGTCCCATGAGATTAGGATCTGTACAATAGCTCCGAAAAACGTACCGGTACAGCATGCAGGGGCCTGTAATCCACTTGGGCGGTAGATCGCGCCGCTAGCATTGCCTTGCAGATGTTGTCGGCCAAAGCGATGTGGGAAGCGAGCGATGACAAACCATCTCACATCTATCTGAGAAACCGGTTCTAACCGACTCGATAATCGGTTAGTCCGACACATGGCAAGCCGAGTTGAAGGTGGTTGGATTGAACAAGTGCTTCCAATTCACGAAAACTTCAGGTTTCAAACATAAATCAAGATTTCGCCCAAGGAAAATGCACTGTGAGAGCGACAAGGCGCCTTGTTGGCGTGGCGATGTCGATGCCGAATGCTATCGCAAACGTCGTGCGGGCGTCGGCTGGCAGTGGTAGTACGCGTCATGCACCTTGGCGCAAGTCGACCCCTTCTTGCACGTCGTCTTGCCCGAGTAATTCTCGCCGCCGCATTGAGCCAAGGCGCTGCGCCCGACGGGCTCGCACAGCCAGATGTACGCGGTCTTCTTCGTGCACGCAAAGCCCGGGTCCTTGCAGCAGACACCTAGCGACCAATACTGGCCGTCGCACTGACTGTACTTCTCGGCGCACTGCTCGCTGTCTGCCGTCGTGGCCACCAGCTTGGGCTCGCAGAGCGAGAGCTGTTCGCTGTAGTAGGTGCATGCGAAGCGCTTGTCCTTGCAGCAGATACCAAACGGCCAGTCCTGCCCGTTGCACTGGCTAAAGTTCGCGGCGCATTGCTGCGCACTGGGCTTGGGCTCGCACAATGAGAAGCTGTCGCTCTTCTTGGTGCAGACAAAGCCTGGGTCCTTGCAGCACGCAGCGCGCGGCCAGTTGCACTCGTCGAACTTGTCGGCGCAGATGGCGTCTTGGGCCATCACCGAGGTGAGGAGGAGGAACACGAGCAAGAGCAAGTACATCGTGCAAGGGGCGTGTGCAGGCCGCTCGCAAAAGGCAGTTTGGGCACCAACTTCAACAAGGCAAGCAAATGCGTTTGAAACGGCTATTATATTTTACAGGTTTTAGACCGGGACAAGGCTATATTAAAGCGATATGATATCTATGTATTTTCACAGGTATGCAATTGTACAGTATTCAAATTGCAGGGGGCCACGTCATCGGACGAGATTCCGTCGCAAGCACCTGTTTCCTCAACCACATACAAACTCGTAGTGTGTGGTGGCTTCAAGCCTTGATGCAACCTTTTGGGTTGCTGCAAGTCGGATGCTGATAGTACGAACGAAGAGCGGGAGGATTGCGCTCATGTTTCAGCGCCATTTCCTACCACGGCAGTTCCTCGACAACGCGTTTCCAGCGCTGCTTGTGATGGGCTCATCCTCGGATGTGCCATGTCCTTGGCTAAAAGCGGCACCGACGTCGGCGTCGAGGAGTATTCGTGGTTGACGGTTTGCACGCAGAAATGATATGCAAAAACCATCTGAGAGTATGCGGAAGAAAAGATACCAACCGGTCGTGGAGACAAGGTGAGACCGCAAACAGCTTTGGCTTGACGAAGACGGGCAAGTGGATGTAACCAGGCAGAGACTCGGCGGATCCGCGCGAGATGAGGCTCGCCCTACGTGACATGACGGTCCAGGCTTCTGATAGGAAGCTTTGCGAACGACATGGCCGAAGTGCGCAGCGGTCGTTGCTCCTGCGAACGCCGCACGGTCTTTGCACGTCAAGCGCCGATTGTATCTTGACAACTCGGTCATGGTGCGAAAACTCGAGCCCTTGGTATAGTATCCACCATATATATGTATGACCTGCGCATAGAGTGCTTATCGAGCCGACCCTCCTCGATGGAGCAAGACACGACGTTTATGTAGCAATTGGTTAGGATACTAATGTCGCCAGTGTACGTGGGAGGTGCAAAGCAGCTCGCCGTAAACAGCGCCCGAAACGCATGACAAGCTTGGCGCTCGTTTGTCCGTCCTCTCGGGCGTCTTGCGCTCCATGGCAGCGTGTGCTACGAGCCGAGCGAGCTGCTCGCACAAGCTCGTTTCGCGCTGCGTCCTCTGAAAGGGATCGCAAGAATACCACTGTGTGCGATCTCGCCGGAAGCCAACGACGCCGAGTGTCCTTGCATCCAGTAGTCAATATCCGCTCTCTCGACGACAATGGACCTCTTGCTGGGCCACTACATCCTTCTGGCGCTCGCAGTCTACGCGCTCGTCGCCATCGCCCGCTGGCTGCATCACAAGCGCACCATGGTCTCGGCGCTTTCCCGACTGCCCGGTCCGCCGAGCAGCCTCTTTCTCGGCAACTTGGCCCAGATCGCCGGCCATGTGCACGAGCTCTACGACTGGAAGCTGCGGCAAACGATAGCGTACGGCGCCACGTACTGCTTGCGCGTCGACGTCCTCACGAACGGGTCGATCTTTACGTCGTCGGCCGCGAACCTCGAGCATATTTTAAGCAAGCGACACGCCAACTACATCAAACCACTGCTCATGGAAACCGTCTTGCACGAGCTACTCGGCAGCAGCATCTTCAACATCAACGAGTGTCACCCGAGTTGGCGCTTCCAGCGTAAGCTCATCGCATCGCTCTTTTCGGTGAACGCGCTCAAGGCGTGGACGTCGACCACGTACACCAAGCACCTCGGCCCTCTTCTGCAAACCATCGACGCTGAGAAGAGCGTGGACCTCGCGCCGCTCGTGCTCTCCTGGACGACGCACTGCATCTACGAAATGGCGTTTGGCGCGACGCTGGACGCCGACGACATGCGCGTCATGCACGACCTTGTCCACGAGGCCGCCGAGCTCATCTTCTATCGCTTCACGCACCCGTGGTACCTCTTGTTTCAGTGGTGCATGCCCAGCGAGTTCCGCCTCCACGCCGTCATTGCGCGCATCAACGCGCTCTGCTACAAGACGATCGCACACGCCCGGTCATCGACGATGCACGCTTCGACCACCGTCCTCGCCGAGCTCTTGCGCCGCCAAGCGACCGATGCGAGCATCACGGACGTCATCATTCGCGACATGATGATGGGCATGTTCCTCGCGGGCAGGGAATCCGTCGGCAGCAGCATCCTCTGGGCGCTCTACTGCGTCGCGAAGCACCCACACGTCGAAGCCGCCCTCGTCACGGAGCTTGGGGATATCATTATTTCGTACGAGTCGATTGGCGCGTGCGGGTACTTGGACGCAGTCGTCCGGGAGACGCTGCGGCTCTTCCCGCCCGTGCCCATTGAGCTCAAGTGCGCGGTCGCCGACGACGTGCTTCCGGACGGCACGTTTGTCCCCCAAGGCGCGATGCTAGAGTACTCGGCGTACGTCATGGGCCGCGATCCAAGTCGATGGGTGGACGCCGATCAGTTTCGACCCGAGCGCTGGCTGCACATGGCCACGCGCCCGACCGCGTACGAGCTCCCGACCTTCAACGCGGGCGTGCGCTCGTGCGTCGGCCAGCAAGCGGCGCTGCTGCAGACCAAGCTCGTGGTGGCCACCGTCGTACAGCGCTACCACCTCGACGTGCTTTCGCCCAAGAGCGACGACGAGGGTCCCATGTACGCCTTGGGTCTCGCACTGCTTCCGCGTGGCGGCCTCCACGTCCGCGCCCGAGCGCGCTAAGATATAGCAGTTTGCTACAATATTGTCGTTCGAGTCAACCGCTGCAGACGGCAACTACAATATAACTCATCTGTGTGCGCGTACTTGCCGTCGAGTTGGCATCGACGCAGAGACTCCAGAGTCCCAAGGTCGAGCAACACGAGGCGGACGTGGGCTTGGGACCTAGCCGTAGCTGCCGACTGTCTGGCTATAAGACGCTAAGACGCTAAGAGTACAAAGTGTAAATGCACTTGAGTGATCGTTTAGCGTCATCGACAACTTGTTCTTCTACTGCTCTTCGTTTCCAGGTACCGTCTTCTCGCACACCTAGAGCGGCGCCAACGACGCCACGTCGCTGGCAAACGTGTCGGGCAATCCCTCACGTCGGCGCCGCCCGGTTCATGACCCACCGGGGTCCTATCCAGCTATTCTAAAAGTGGTGGGCCAAGGAGCCGCCTAAGAGCGGCCCTTGTACGGGGAGGTCCTTGACAAGACGTGCAGCGGGCAAAGGCGAAAAGAGCAAAAGAGAGTCGTCGAGGGCGCGGCCACGAGCACGCAGCGCGCACGCACACGGTGGCGCTTACAGGCCAAACATACCGCTGAGCGGAATGTCGGCCTGCTCCTTGGCAAACGTCTCGAAGTACTGGTAGATGATCGTGACGGCGAGCAAGATGCCCGTGCCCGAGCCGATGGCGCCCAGAAAGTCGGCCACCATCGAGAGCGCGCCGATGCACATGCCGCCAAACGCCGCGGCCGTCGGGATGTAGCGGTTGAGCACGTGCACGATCGACGCGTCGCGGTGGCCCTTCATGACCATCTGCTGGTCGCGGAGCTGCTTGGCCACGTCGCGAGCCGACGAGCCCGAGATTTCAATCCACGTCTTGGAGAAGAGCGCGCACGAGCCAAGGATAAAGACCACGTAGATGACGGCGCGGATCGGGTCGTACAGAATCTGGGCCGCGCTCGACGGCGCCGACATGTAGTAAGCCAGACCGCCGACAGGGATCGACTGGCCGCCGCCGCCTTCGACGTCCTGCCACTTGCCGAGAAGACCGACGAGGAAGTTGCCGCCAAACTTCTTGAAGAGGAGCTGCGACACGAAGTACAAGTTGGAGACGAGCGCCGTCTGCAAGATGATGGGCATGTTGGACGTGTAAAAGAGCTTGATCGGGTACGTGCCCTGCTGGCCGCGGTAGCGCTGGTACTTGACCGGGAGGTCGATGCGGAAGCCTTGGAAGTAGATGACGACAATGAAGACGAGGATCGTCGCGAGCAAGTTGGTCACGTTCGGCAAGTTCTGGCGGTAGAAAGCTTCCTTGAGCGCGCGCATCTTGTCCGAGCGCGTGATCAAAAGGTGGAAGAGCGCAATGATCGCGCCCTCAAACTCCGTGCCACGGCCCGTGTTGATTGTCGTGGGGCTAAAGGCCTTCCAGACAATGCTTTCGCAAATGTTGGTGGCAATGAAGAGCGAGATGCCCGAGCCGAGGCCGTAGCCCTTCTGGAGCATTTCGTCCAAGATGATGACGAGGATACCGGCAAAGAAGAGCTGGATGATGATCAAGATCGCGTTGCCGGCGCCAATCTCGCCAATGTCGCCGTACATGCCCGAGGCCACGTACGCAATCGCTTGGCCGACCGTGATGAGGATGCCGAAAAGCTTCTGCGCGCCGCTAAAGAGCGCGCGGTCTTCCTTCAAGCTCTGGTCCACTTCAATCATCTTGGAGCCGGCAAGCATCTGCATGACGAGGCCCGACGTAACGATCGGCGAGATACCGAGTTCCATGAGCGTGCCACGGTTCGAGGCCAAGATGACACGCATCCAGTAGAGCGGGTCGCTCGACTTGGAGGTTTGGATGCCATAGAGCGGGATTTGGCAGCACACGAGGAAGATGAAGAGCGTGATGACCGACCAGAGGACCTTCTCGCGGAACGGGATCTTGCGGTCGGGCTGCGCGACCTCGGGCAGGACGCACATGACCGGGCGGATCAAGTGCAGGAAGCGCATCTTGGTTCGATGGCGGAAATCCGAAAATGGCAAAGTGGAAGCACCGCAACCACCGCAGCCTTCGTTTTTAATGTTGTTAGACTCTGTATTTGTATCTGACATTTGACTTTTGTATTATATTTGACGCTGGTGACGTGGCCCAACGTTTATAGAGAAGGTTTGTATGCCAACGGAAGCGCGACGCCATTGGCTATATTTTTCGAAGCCTTTCGACCAATCCGACGCCTTTCCGTGGATTTCATAGGACCCTTGGATTTAACACAATGGGACCCAGTCCTGCGCCTTGTGCATTTACTAACAATTTGTATGCCGGGTGGATCAGTAATACACCACCTTTTTACGACCCCCCACTGTTACACATTGCGTGGCCGCACGACGAAGCTGTCGACGCGCCCGCGGCTACCTGGCGGAGACACCACCTCGGCGCCGTCGCTGCCAAGTCGCTGGCCATCCGCGTCGGTCTCGAGCGTGAGGCGCAAACCTTCCTGTATGAGTTCCTTGATGTCGTCGTTCGTCTGCTTGGAGTAGAGTGAGAACGGTGGGTACTTGGCCTTCAGTTCACTCAGCGCTCCCAGCGTCGGCCATGCGCCGCTCTGAACAAGCGCTATCGCGTCCTTCGTATGAGCGCCACGCCTACGGAGCCATTTGCTTCGGTGTCATCAAGGTGCATGGCGTACCTGGCCTTGGCATCGGAGGCGCCCTTTGCGATGACCGCAGCGACGTCCCGCATGTGGGCCGCCCGCCGCTTCATGAGGTAGGCGACAAGGAGACGCATCTTGATGCTAATCATGCACCACCGCGTCATGGCCGACTGCCGTGCGCGAGACCGTACCTCTTGGGAATGCGCACGACCTGAACAGTCTGCATGCGTTGAATCTCAATCGGCGTGAGCATACTCTGCATCGCCAACAGTTGCGCCTGCATCGCGCCCAGGTCCGCGAGCGCTTCGGCCTGGTTGCGCCGGTTCGGGCGTCGCCGAGGCGGCGGCGACGTGGGCGGAGCTGCGTCCGCCACGGCCACGGCCGATCGCGCCGCCGCCAGCTGCTTCTCGGTGCGCTGTCGATCGTGGTCGGCGCGATCCCACATTTGGCCGAGCGCATGGAGCCGCGCGCGGGAGCACGCGATGTACGCCTTGCTCGCCCGCTGCGCGTTGATGACGCGCCAGCGCCAGCGAGCCATGAGCACGCGAAAGTTGCCCGACTCGGTGTCGGTTGCGTTGAAATAGTCGATGAAAAAGCGGCGCAGCACGCTCGCGGCCTGGCCGAGCTTCTTGCAGTGGATCTAATACACTGTAACATAGTACACTGTATGCAACAAGATCGTGTTTGTACGCGGAACGTGACACTCCAGAGAATGCGTCGCGTCTTGAGGATGATGTGCAAGAGCGCTTTCGAGTTGGCGACGTGGACGCGCCGCCGCCACACGCGCTGGATCTTGGAGATCGCCGCGAGCTCGCGCAGCTCCAGAAGCTTCTTGGATTTCTCCTGGCGCGTGCGCACGTGCCAGCGCTCCAAGTGCGCCACGGTGCAGAGCACGCGGAGCCACGCCCGGACCTGCTGGGCGCGGGCAGCAAGTCGCTTCTGCTGGTTGACTTGCCGCGTGTGGCGGTCGAGGAGCTCCACGTGATGCTCGTGCTCGCGCTGCAGCTGCAGCTCGTACTTGGTGCGCGTCTTGTGCAGTCGCTGCGCCAGCGTCGGCTTGGTGCACCTATTGCGTCATGAGCCAGCCGGCTTCACGGGCGCAAAGCACCGAGTGTCGCTTGGGTGACCGCCGACGCGCACAATGTTCTCGTGGATCATCTACAGAGGTATCGATCCTCGTCCAACACCACGAGGCGGCGCGTACGTCGACGTGGTTCTACGTATGTACGCCATGAGTCAACGCAGCAGCGACAGTGCACGCACCCGTCCTCGGCGCTTGGACGCCACGTACTCCTTGACTTTGGCCTACAGGACCAGGCTCTTCAACGTCATAAGTTATGACTCATATGCCTGAAAATCTGCCCACGCATCCGGATTTGCGTGGAGCTCAACGAGCAACGTGTGCACTCTGCAGGCCATCTGCCGTGAGCTGAGCAAGAAGAAATGAACAGCGTACTTGGCCTCGAATGGCACCTCCCGCAGCGTGTGGGGGCGGCGCGGCGACACCAGTGGCGGAGGACGTTGCCGCGGGGACCGCTCGGACACTTGGATGTGCGGTAGTAGATGCTGCCTATTGTGCATTGCGCATTGGCTCCAACCCGAGATCCTCGTACGTCGCCTCGCGCAGCACTGCCGGGTCCGTGGGTGTTGACGGCGCATCCGACTCGGCGACGACCCACTCGCCAATTGACTTGATGTTCCTAGACACATTGTAGAAGCGCGCTAGAGGACCGAAGATGCGTACATGGCCCATGAGCACGGCAGCACCGAGAGCCGAATGAACTCAATGATGTACTCGCGCGGCAGCGCCCACGTGGCCAGCGGACTCGACATGTTTGGCAAGAGCTGCGGGTCAATGATGGCTTCCGTGCGCGGGCTGCGTAGCGCTGGAAACGTTGTTGTCGCCGTTGTTTCGGGCTTGGCGGGCGCGGTCTGTGCGCGGCGCGTCGGGATCTCCAAGTCGGCAATGGCGGCGCCCACGAGGCGCTTGGCTGGCGTCGTGCGGACAATTGGATGTGCTATGGTGCGCGGACTTGGCAGCTTGGGTACATGCATCTTGGCCCGTGGCATGTCCAGTGACGGGATCATGCGCCGTCCATTGACATCGTAGCGCACGGACGGCCGGTGCGTGGCACTGCGCCCAGGCGTGTCGAGGTGGTCGATGACGAAGCCCTCGATGAGCTTCTGCTGCATGCTGTAGCCAGGCAGCCCGTTGCTAGGCGACTAAGAATAGCATCTTAGCCCATCGGCGGATCCGGCTTTTTCCGCGTGCGCTGGATGGCGATTGTATCCAGCTTCACGCGGCAATAATATTCTGCCACCCACGTCAGAGCATACAAAGCCCGAGGTAATTTTATTACGACAGTGAACCCGTTGGTGTAGCCTGCTGTAACTCCGAGTCGGTCCACGCGAGGGAGATGGAAGCGGTCAAGCCCGCCCACGGCCCGCCTGACGACGCCGCCGGACGCTGCGCCGAAGACAAGCAGAGCGGCTTCGCGGATGACGCGTCAAGCAATGGCCAAGCGGACAAGGTCGAGACAATCGGGCCCGTCGAGCTCTTCAATCGCCTCCAGCACAGCAGCCACAGCGTCGTCTTCCTCGTGCTGACCAACGCCGACGTGACCTCGGGCGTCTTCTCGACGGTCGGCTTTACCGAGACGAACGACAACTATTGCAACTTTTACCTGCCGCCGTCCGTGTCGGAGCGCCTCGTGGACCCGTCGACGACACTCTCCCATCTGCTCTTGCTCGGTGGCGATGACGTGGCCATGACGTCGCTGCCCTCCAAGATGCAGCTGCTCATCCACGTCGTGGCCGAGCTTCGCGCGAGCGCGGGCCTCGCGCCGCTGATCACGCAGTTCGTCGATCCGTCGTTTGCGTCGTCGTTCCGGCTCGACGCGCCGCCCAGCGTCAACTTGATTGCGACGTCATCGGGCTGGATCTTCCTCGGCAACAGCGCCGACGCCGTGCGCAGCAGCGTCGTCCGCGACCTCAACATCGAAGCGATCGTCAACTGCTCGTCGTCGACGCAGGACAAGCCGTTCGCGCACGTCGAGTACTTCGACCTGTCTGTCTCGCGCGAAGACCCGGAGGCCGGCACGTTCAGTGCCTTTGACGACGCGACAGCGTTTATCGAGGCGGCGTTTGCGACCAAATCGCGCCTCCTAGTCCACTCGACGTACGGCCGGTCGCGCTGCTGCATGCTCGTGGTCTACTTTATCATGAAGACCGAGCGCGCGTCGCTCTATGACGCGTACCACCGTGTCTTGTGCGGTCGGCCTGGCATGATGCCGCGCGATGCGATCCTCGGCATCTTGCTCGCCAAGGAAACGGCGCTCTACGGCAAACGCAGCATCGCCGCCGACGACAAGGCCGCCCTGCGCCAGCTCACGCGTGGCGACGGCCTTCCGCCGCGCGACAAGGCCGCCCACGCCATTGCGCTCGCGAACCTCAACGCCGCGGAGCTCCAAGCGCTCGCGGCCAAGCAAACAGCCGCAAAAGCCTCGTCGTTTGCAACCAACGCGTTTGTGCTCGCGAGCACCACCGACGCGCGGCCCGAGACGCGTCGGCGCGTCGTGCCCGAGACGTCGGTCACGTGCCGATGGCTCTTCAACCGCCTGCAGAGTGGGACCGGCATGCTCCTGCTGGACGCGCGAAGCCGCGGAAGCTTTGAAGAAGACTCGATCCCGACAGCAATCTCGGCGCCGCCGCCGTCGGGCCGCGTGTCGCTGAGTCAGCTCGAGCGGGCGCTTCTTCCGGAGCAAGCGCATCTCTTCTCGGCCAAGAAGCGCAAGCTGCGCGAGGTGGTGATCTACGGCGAGACGGTGCGGCCGAGCACGCCGCACTGGGGCCGCCAGCTCGGAGCGCTCCTCGTCGAGGAAGGGCTGGTCTCGAGCGTTCGATACCTTGACGACGGCTTCACGACGTTCCAGTACCGGTACCCGTTCTACACGACGCAGTTCCTCTTTGCGGGGCAGAACGCCGACGAAGGGCTCTTCCTCGCGCGCACGCAGAGCGGGACGCACAACATCAACTACCCGAACGAGCTCCTCGACGGCTTCCTCTTCCTCGGCAACATGTGGCACGCGCAGTCGTCCTCGGTCGTGCGCAACCTCGGCATCACGCACATTGTCAACGCCAGCCTCGACACGGGCAACGTCTTTGAGGCGGCCGGCGTCGCGTACCACGAGGTCAAGATCAAGGACGACATTTACGCCAACATTGCGGCTCACTTTGAACCCACGTTTGCGTTTCTCGAGGGCGCCAAGCAGACGCAGCACAGCCGCGTGCTCATCCACTGCACGCAGGGCATCTCGCGGTCCGCGACGCTCGCTATCTACTACCTCATGCGCGCGCAGCGCTGGTCGCTTGTGACAGCAGTCAACTATTGCATCGCGAACCGCGGCGTGTGCTTCCCCAACCAAGGCTTCCTCCAAGCGCTCATGGTCGAAGAGCGCAACTTGTACCACGCCAACACGGTCTCGACCCACGAGCTCGATGCGCTTCTTGAAGGGGGCTTGCTCGACAAGCCGGTCCCGAAGCCGATGCTGACGCCCGACCACTCGATGGCCGACGAAGGCTGCCACATGTGCTCGAAAACGTTTTCGTTCTTTGAATGGCGGCACCGGTGCGGCCTCTGCCGACGCGTCGTCTGCGCCAAGTGCTCGAGCAGCCGCCTCCTCTTGCCCGAGTCGAGCGGCGACGTCGGCCGCGTCTGCGACCACTGCCTCGTGCACCTCTGGGCGATCCACCTCCCGCTGCCCTTCCGCCTCAACGTGCGCATGATGTTTGTCGACCGGTACGGCCCCCGCGCCCGCAAATCGCTCTCGCTCAAGAGCCCGTGTCTCCAACACCAAGTGCTCAACATCACGTACGTCCCCGGCACCGAGACGCACGTGCTGCTCAACATTCTGCGCAAGCGCTTCCAAGTGCGCGCGTACGAGCTTCTCGATGTGACGGGCGACGGCGTCGACGTGGGTGCCGACTGGAGTCTCCACGCCGCCGCGTACTTGGACTTGCCCGACAATGCCGTCCTCTTTGCGTCCATTGGCGAGTCGGGCTCGATCCGCCAGCCGCGCCGTCGCCAGCCGTCGTGCGCCGAGCTCGCTGCGACCTCGACTCGGCGGTCGCGGTCGTTCTCCGAAGCGCCGTCGTACCGCACCAACGCCCGCTTGCAGCACCATTCGATGACGTCGACGCAGCAGCTTTCGCTCTCGGACCAGTCGCTGCCGACACCCAACGTCGCGCTCGACGAAACACGCTTCCAAGCGCTGTGGAGCGCTGCGTTCCCGACGCACCCCGATGTTCCGGTCGAAGCGCTCGTCGAACTCGACCCCGAGCTTCTCTCGCAAGTGTTATTGGCCCTCTCTGCCCCCAACGCAGACGTCGTACCCCTCTCGTCGTCGGCGCAGGCCTTTCTGCGGCGATACGGTGCCACGTAATCGAATCTTATTGAGGTAGTGAGAGTTGACATCTTCTCTGTGCTACGAGGCCGCGGCCGTGCGGCGGCATTGATGCACGATCAGCGTCAGCTGCACCTTGGGAATGAGCGACGCCTGGGATCGTCGGGCGGCCCGCTTCAATCTAGAACCGTATCAATCTTTCAACCGCCACAGAACACCACAGACCGCGTCGCCGACGTCGTGTCGGAGCTGTGGAGGAGACTCGTGATCGCGAGCGCCGCGCCGGCCGTGAGACACGCCTTGTGCGACCAGTGGAAGCCCTGGACGCCGTACATGAAATGCACAAGGATCGCTAGCAACAGAAAGCCGAGGCTCGCGCCTACCCTCATAACTTGGTCCCTTTCACATGTCGTCGTAGCGTACCGTCCGAGGCCTTGCGGAGTAGCGTGTGCCAAGGCGAGGGCGCCAAGAGCGCTGCGTCCGAGGACGCACGCGTGATTGGCGGCGTGTGCTTGACGACCTGGCACGAGACCGACACTTCGACCTCGCAGGGAACTGACGCGCCGAGAAACTCGACCCAGCACGTTTCGTTGGCGTCCCAACTGCCGAGCAGCGCCTGCGTCCCGATGCGCGCGACGCCGCCGTCGTCGAGCATGAGGAGGCACGCGCCGCCCTGCTTGACGACGCCGAGCTCGATGCGCTGGCCGAACGCCACGTTCTTGGCGACGACAAACTCTTCGCGCTCCGTGTAGTCGTCGACCATGCCGACGAGCGCAATCGCGTGGTCAAAGCGGTGGACGGTCGAGGGCGTCGACTCGGGCGGGACGGGCGTCGGCGCCGGCGTCGGTACCTTGGCCGTGCCCGAGTACATGAGCTTGGGCGTCGGCTGGAGGAGCACCTCGCGCTGCTCGTTGATGGCTGCGACCCACGTGTCGACGGCCGCGGCTTCGCTCCGCGACGTGCGCATGAGCAGCACGCGGTGCGACTGCAGCGTAATCTCGAGGTAGACAAACTCTTTGGCAACTTCGACCGCGGCCGATGGCACCTCGGACTCGGCCGCCACGCGCACCTACGCAGCATCCTCCTAAGCAAGAAGCCAGCGGTAGGGCGGCGGTACCTTGGCGATCGATTTGAGGTGGACGCGCTCGCGCTCTTCGCCGAGAATCTCAAGCTTGGACGTGAGGCGAAAGTACACAAGCCATTGCGACGTCAGAAGGAAGAGGCGCGTCGCCTACATCGCGTGCATGAGCCTTACAGGCAGCGCGTCGTCGTCGTACCCAGCCGCCACGGACCGCGCCGTCGCCTACGCATCTATGCACATGAGGTATGTAATGGACGAGGCCAAGGACGTACGCCGCTTGTCGAGCGTGCCAAAGAAGAGGATGTCATGGTGGGGCTGCGGGGTATGCAGGAAGGAGGCTCCGGCCGACAGCGGCGACGACTCGGCGACCATCCTGCAACGGCGACAGAAATCTCGGGATGACGGGGCCGCCGGATACGCTCCGGAAGCTTCGCCGCATGTCGCACCGATCCGATCGCAATGTTGACGGAAGGAGACCAAGCCACCGAGCCGACTCGCTGCACGGTCACCGACCGACTGCCCATGCAAAGGTGACCTTGAGGACATTGTATCTGCCCATGTCCCACGCACCGCCCTGCAACAACGCGCATCGAGAGACAGGCCATCGTCCGAATGGTCGCTCCGCGTGAGCTTACTGCTCGTCCCTCAAGCGGTATGCGCATGCGACGCAGCCTCGGCTCGGATAAACCTGCAGAGTGTGGTCGCTCGCAACAATACGAGATGATAGAGTAGTGAGTTGATCTAGTAATTACGTGGACTTCTTGGCCTTCTTGGCCTTCTTGGCCTTGGGCTGCGTCGCTTCCTTCTTGTCGGCCTTGTCCTTCTTGTGCTTCTTGTGCATCTTGGTGGACGTCTCGTCGACGAGGTCCGAGAAGAGCTCCTTGACCTTGCGCTTGCGCTCTAGTTGAGCGTGCTCAGCATCGTTAGCGTATATTTCGCGGAATTGTACCGTAAGTCGACCGCCACTTTTCCTCGTTCGTCTTGAACTCGTGCACGTTGCAGTTGGTGAGGACCATGGACGCGAAATGGTTGCCAACGAGCTTGGCGTCCATGAACGAGAGCTCTTCCGCGATCATCGTCTGCGCAAGAGTATCAGTGTATCAACTGGAGGGAGCCAATGGTGTACCTTGTACTCGAGCGACATGGTGTTGAAGCACTTGATGACCGAGAAGGCGCCGTTGCGGTCCATCGCAAGAGTGCCAAACTGGCCCTTGAACTTGGTGAAGAGCTCGATCTTAGCTTCGTCGTTCTCGCTGTTCCAGATGGGCTCCTGAAAAAATCATTTCTGAGAGCCGAGTGCTATCAACACGACAACATACCACGAGGCAGCGGCTGCCGACAGAGTCCTTGGAGAGCGCAACGAGCTGGAGCCCGTTCAGGCCGAGGATGCTCTTGACGAGCGGCGCCGTGATGCTCGCGGGAAACTGCAGAAGCGTCTCGACGATGCGCGCGCCGGCCACGTTGAGCGAGAGCTTGGCGTTCTACGGTAGAATTATGTAAGTCTCTTTTCATCGCATTTTCAAGGGCAATAATACCTGCGAGTTGGAGAGTTCGAGTGCGATGAGCGCCGGCACCACGTCCTTCTGCACCGCGGCGGGCTTCTTGCTCTCCTGCTTGGCGACCGCGGCCGTGAGCGAGTTGAAGAAGCGCTCAAAGTGGAGCTTGAAGCGCACGCAGCACTCGGCGAGGCGCCAGATGACGCCCGGGCGGTGCATCGAGAGCAGCGTCCAGAGCGCGTCCTTCATTTCATCAAGGACCAGGTCGGCGTACTCTGCATTTGGCACGTGCGAGATAAAGTTCTGCACCACGTAGTTGGAGATCGCGTGCTCGGAAAATTCCAAGAGGCGGCTCTGCATGCAGCGATCAAACACGCTCGTCCAGAGCCCTTCGGACGCCGTTTGGCACAGCTACAGTATCAATGTATCGAGTGACATTCGAAGCAACACCAAGTACCGCTTCGAGAAAGTGACTTGCGACCGTGTCGCCGGCGTAGTCGTAGAACCGCTTCTTCGACGACTCTTCGTCGTCCCAGTTGAGAAGGCGGAAGACGAGGTCCTGCCGCAGCGCATCGGGGCAGACGCGGACCGCGATCGAGAGGAACGGACCCGCGTGGTGGTCGAACATGAGCTCCGCGAGCTTGTCGTCGGGCGCGTCCATCATGACCTCGACAATGTCGGTGAGAGTCGACGTAAAGGTCTCCGGCACCGTGTACTGGACCGCGTTGAGCTTCTCGTCGTCGCTACAGACGCGTGAGCTTCGAGTTCGCGTAAATATCGCCATACCTTTTCTTCGGGAGGTTTTCAAACTTGACGGCGCCGTGCTTGCCCTTCTTGCCGCGCTTCTCAGCGACAGGCGCGCGGCCCGCGAGCGCGCAGAGGACGCCACGCAGCACATGCGACGCGCTGACGTCGTTGACGAGCGTGATCCACTCCTCCTTGACCTCGGTGCACATGGCCACGATGAGCGCCGCCATCGTTGGCACGTTCTTGGAGCGTTCGTCGTCGTCCTCGGTGGTCTCGAGCGATCCGTCGACTTCGGCCTGCACGATGGCGCCGACCTTGGACAGAATGCGCTGGAGCACGTGCGACGAGTACCGGTTCGTCCAGAGATGGCTGTAGTAGCCCTCCATCTTGTGCACGAAGAAGCTCAGCTGGCGCGGCGACATGTGCTCCACGAGCACTTCAACGATCTCGCACGCGTGGCGGTCCGAGGCCGCGCTTGCGATACGCGGCGCCAGCTCTTCGAGGACGTTCCAGAGCAGAATCGACTTGGTATCGTCGCCGTCGTCACCGAGGCTCTCGAGCAGCGACGTCTTGACCTCGAGGAGGTACGCGGTCGTGTCCGGCTCCAGGCGGCGCGGGCGCACGCGTCTACGCAGGTCGCCATGAGCACCACATATGACAAGGTATCATGCTGCACGTAGCCGTACTCGGGGCGCTCATGGCTGTGGGTCTCGTCCGCCATCCTCTAGGTTGCTCGCACCGATTGGGTTGCTCAAATGAGCACCTTAGCGGCCAATTGATTGGAGGCCTTGGCCGGCCACCGGGTTTGCTCCGGAAGACGACAACTGGGTAACACTATTCATTTAGATTCCTTAATAGTGTGATTTAGTGTCTATGATGCTCCAGGATTTGAAATCCTTCAGCTTATGGTAGCCGCCTGGACTCGCTTCGTCCCCTCGCCCATGTGCCTTGTCGTCTTGAGCGGGATCATGAGACTACCGGTGCACCGCCAACGCGCGCAAGAGTACAAATGAATGGAAGTACGGTCAGTCTCCGGGTTTGTCACCGGCCACGTTATGCACAGTACTTTTTAAATACGATTATAGTGTAAATGCAAACTCGAAAACTCGTGTTCATGGCTGCAGGGAGCGCCCGCGGACGTGTCAAAACACAGTGTTTATGGAGGAGATAAAGCATCAAAGGAAGCTGGACGATGCTTCGAGCATGGCTCTCGGCACTTGGTCCCAGCTAAGATCCAATTGTACTCTATTCTAGCATATTGCTCCGTAAATAGTGTACGTTAGAGCCGGAGTTTGCGCTGGACCAAAGTTGAATTGTGGCGAAGATCACGGCCGAGGATGGAACGATCTCGCCGTGGTGGACAGCGTGGCCGCAAGCCCAAGACAAGCAGTAGCTCCAAGGACGTTGACGGCGACAGTGGCAGCCACGGCAACGGGCTGCGCTCGCCGCCACCTCGATCGCGCTCGCTGCAGCAGCAAGAGAAGGACCACGACAGCACCAACGTCGACGACTCCATGTCGGAAGACGACGCGGACGACAAGGAGGCCACCGCGCAGGGCCTCTTGCAAGCGCTCACAGGATACATCGAAGAAGCCGAGGCCGACATCCTCGACGAGAAGAAGCACGGAAGCAAGAGCAAGGCGCGTCTCGACGACGCGGACGACGACGACGGCGAGAACGACGGCCACGAAGAGACCGCCGCCGAGTTCAAGGAGCACATGCTTGAGCTCAAGAAGAAAGTTCAGATGATCGAAGATGGTACGTTCGCCGAGTACTGCCGGCGGTGCGTCGAATTCAAGGAGGACCGGAGCCGCGCGCTCCAGACAGCGCGACAGCATCGCGAGCTCCAGCTCAAGAACGTCCAGGACCTACTTCTCTTTGACTATCAAAAGGCTGAGGACCTCTACGCAACCGGGAAAGACTGCATCAAGTACGACATGATGAGCCACGTCCATGCCATGCTCGCCGATGTCGCGGCGCAGCTCACACAGCTGGACGCCGACCATACTGCTGACGAGCCGGTGGCCAAGAAGCCCAAGCTCGCCGACGGTACTCTCCCGCTCTGCCTTGCTCGGAATATCCCGAGGTGCTGTAGGCTTGTTGCAACCGTCCGAGTGTTGCCTCGCGCTGCCCGAGGTCCAGAGCGACGTTGCCGCCATTTGCGGGAGCTGGAAGACGACGCCGGTCCTCAACGACACGCTGGCGCCAGGTATACCCTTCTGCTATAAGATGCGACTTGATCTTACTGTGCACTTAGTGCCAACGTCGTGCACTCGGGGAGTGCTCAGTTGCGGCGACTTCCTCTTTGACGAGGGTGACGAGGTCGTCCTCTCGTCCAACCTCATGCAGCGCGAGTACGTCGGCACGATCCAGTCCTTCACGGACGACGCTGTACGTCCCTTCTTGCTAATTAGTTATTCGTAACGCGCGTAGCTCTACGTTGTCCTCAACACGGGCGAGAAGGCGCGCATCCTCTTCCAGATGCTCCAAGAGAAGCGCTGTGCGATCATGCCCTTTCAGCGAGGCAACTCGGGCGTCAAGAGCCTCCAGTCGTCGGGCTGGGTGCGCTGCGAACCCTTTTAACGCATACGCAATAGTGTCTTTGGTGCCCTCGCTGTCGTTCTCTGTCCCAGTGGCGCCGAGTTTAACGTCTTTGGATGGATTTAACCGATGAAGCGGACAGTACTACCGGTAGGTACTGGGATGGCAGTGCTGATTGGAAAGAGCGGAATGAACTGCTGCCTCCGTACCGACCGTGTAAAGCGTCGGCGGGATGGCTTGAGCAGCATGTGTCTACTGCTAGTACGGAGCACCCGACGGGTTTTACTCGTGTTTAACGTGTTTACCCCTTTTTGGCACTGGGCGGTGGAAAGCCGGAGTTTTTCCGGACCGGCGGTCGTCGACTGGTGGCAGCGTCTTACTCTAGAATCCTCGCAGGTCGAAATGGCTCTCCAGCGCCTTGTCACGAGCGTCCGTCGCCTCATGCAGACTCCGACGTGGAGCATGTTCCCGCAGGTCCAGATGGAGCTGGCTGCGCATGGCGCCTGCGACCACGACCACGACCACGAGGCCGATGAGCTCAACGACGCGCTCTGGCACGCGTGCCCCAAGTCCAAGGTGACGCCGTCGCGCAAGAAGATCCGCAACAACGATCCGTCCAAGCGCCTCAAGAACATCGTGCACCTCCAGTCGTGCGAGCACTGCGGCACGAAGAAGCTTCGCCACAGACTATGCATGGACTGCTTCAAGAAGGGCACGTACTTTACGAGCTAAGCAGGCATGGAGCAGTAGATAGATGAAGACGAGGTCGACGGAATGCAATACAGTGACTCCTTCTGACCCATATGCGATCGATCGCTTCCACGCTCGCAGTTGCCAGCAGCGACCCGATTCCTGCAAGGCGGTTGCCATCAGCGACCCAATTCCAGCTCGACGAGGCCGTGGTCGGCGGCAGGAGCACCGCCAAGAAGCAATGGGAGTAGCGCAGACGCGATGCCACGGTCCAGCAGCATGCTACAGCCAGCGCGAACGAGGTTGCGGCCCCTGAGGACCATGCGAACGTTGAACCACGTGCTTGACGCTCAGGCCAGCACCAGTGCCCAAGCTACTGCAAGCTTTCGCACTTCTGCGAAATCGCAGAGTCGCTGTGCGCACTCATGCTGCGCGACATCCGTTGCCATCACAAAGGTCTGCTCTCGACCTTGGTTGACAGTTGAGACCGAGACTGGACGTGTGACTGCTCCCAGAACGCAGCGGCAACTGCCAAGATGCCAGAGAAGAGGCACGATTGTGGTTTCACCACTCCGCTCAGCCGCCGAGAGCAAAGGTGGCGACGGGCGAGAGGCGATGACATGGCGACAACAGAGCTCGTGGCGACGACCAATGGCCAACCGCACATGTGACGAGGAGGCGAAGCCCACTCAAGTCCTCGACATAGGGTTGAACGCATTCTCTTGGCAGGTAGCGTGGACAGGGTACGCGTTGGACGTAAGTCGTTCCCATTCACATGGCTCGAACAGTCCATCGTCGCCTGACGGGTACCCGAAGATAGATAGATAGATAGATAGATAGATAGATAGATAGATAGATAGATAGATAGATAAATCAACCGTCAAACTTTACATGGACGCCTTGGACGCGTACGAAGCCAAAGTCCGGCGGCGGCACGAGCGCCGATCCAGAGCCCTCGCGCGCGCCGGCAAGAAGCGACAAGAGCAGCGGCGACGCGACGCCTCGGAAGAACGACGTGCAGAAGCCTGCGCGAACGAGGCCATGGCCTTCGAGGACGCGGCGTCGGTCGCCTGGAACTGCGCGCTTGAAGCGCAAGCCAAGCAACGCGCTCATGACGCGGCGATCGCAAGCTTTCGCGAGGCCACACGCTTGCGGAAACGTCTGCAGACGTATCACCTCGACGTGCACACGGGGAGCGCCGACTCGACGGCGAGTCGCATCGACGAGTTGCAGCGGCGCGTCACCGCCCATGATGCGCGACTGGCATCGGCTGCTGTCGCCCAAGCGCGTCTGGCTACGGTCGCGCAGCACCACGCAGCCAAGAGGTACCGTTCTCTCGATCGTAGTGGACTCTTCTCTAAGATCTGATGGAGAACCGAGATTGCACTTGCGTCGAGCGGCGTATGGACCCAGAAGATGGCGGCGGCCCTGCGCGAGGCCAACTGCGACGCCTTCGAGCATCTCATCGCGCACGGCGCCGATCCGGACTCGGAAGCGCACGGCGTGACGCCGCTCATCTGCGCAATCGCGACCAACCACTTGGCCGTGGCGCGGGCCGTGCTTGCGCTCGGCGCCGACCCCGGCTTTGAGACGAGCGACGGCAAGACGGCGCTGCTCGTAGCCATTGTCGCCGACGACCTCCACGCGCTAGCGCTCTTGCCGCCCACATGCTTTGCTCACGCGACGAAATTCGGAGCCACTGGCATGCTCGTGGCCTGCGAGAAGGGGCGCGTCGCCGTCGTCGAGCGTCTCCTAGCGCTGTCGCCCGACCTGGTAGAGCTCCACTGCAGAGAAGAGACTCTCAATCTTCAGCGCAGGTGAATGCACCCAACGCGCTTGGCCTGACGCCGCTCATGGTCGCAGCCAAGCACAACTTTTTGTCCCTAATACGCGTGCTTTTAACCTGTGGCGCGACGCCGACGCTCCAAGTACGCATCAATTGGGTGTCACTGGAGCTCCAGATACATACGCGTAGGCACGTAATGGTGATACGGCGGCTACGTTGGCCCACGCCGCGGGGTTCCTTGGCGCTGCGGCCCTGTGTAGCAGTAGCTGTGCACTGGACGCCAAGCGCGAGGCCAAAGACATGGCGGCGACAGAGCTCGGGCTTGCACGCGCCTTGGACGCGGCGCCCATTCCCTCCATCTTTGCGTATCTGCGAGCGCATACGACGGCCAGTCCGCGCTACGAGTCACCCGTCGGCGACATGCTTTTGCACGTGTGCTGCGCGCGGGGGACGAGCAACGACGTCCGAGCTGCCCTTTCGCTCTGTCCGTGGTTTCTGCCCAACCGGTTTGGCCTCACCGGCGCCATGATTGCGGCTCAGAATGGCCGTCTGGACGCTCTCCACGAGCTCGTCGCGGCTGGCGCCGACTTGAACCAGCCCGATTTCCTTGGCCGCGACTGCTTTTACCATCTCCACGCGCATGGCCACGATCAACTCGCTGCCAATTTGGGTTCACAGAAA